GGGAATAGTAACAGTGAAGAACTGTGGACAGGTCAAATAAGAACTGAAAAGGGTTCGGTAGCCTTCAGTTTGGTAGCCTTCAGTCAACATTGGTGGCTTGAGAGGTGTTCAGAGGATCGATAGACTTGAAATGAGATTTCTGTAAGGTGAGGAGCTAGTGGGAAGCTACGGGGCAGAGAGTGGATTGTAGCAGAACAAGATTTTTAGGAGGAGGACTGGTTAAGAGATTATTTTAATAGGCTAGGTAAGACATGACACAGCTTTGGCTAGGGTGGTAGCCCAGGATGGAGAGAAAGCAATACACTTGAGATCTGTCTTTTATAGGACTTGTTAATGAATTGTTTGTGGGGGTTGGAGGGGGGCAATGGAAAGGGAAAGGTAGGAGTCAAGGATGACATCTGGGTGGATGGGTGTGTACCACTACTGAGAGAGTACACTAGAGAAGGAACCAGGTGCATAGGGAAAATCCAAAGTGGTATTTTGGAAATTTTAAATTGGAGATGTCTTTTGGAAACCCAGTTATAAATATCAAATAGAGTAGACTGTTGGATATGTGAATCACAGAGTGCTCATTTGGTAATTTCTGTGATTTCTAAACATTCATTACATTCCTTATTTTAACTTTTAATGACCTGCCAAGACTTTCAAATTTGCTTGTTAGAAGACATCCGTAGTTTGCGTTGCTGGCCACTTGGTCTTCTGGCCAAATTGGGATTATCTGTTCCCTACTCAATGGGATGTCTTCTGTGTACACCAGATGGCAATATATCTTGGTGTGTGCATGAGGGAGATCACAAAATACATTGGGACAAGTTCATGAATAAGGTTACTTAATTGCCTACTTTTTGCCTTTAGTCTGCAAGTTAAGTGCTTTGAGACCTGAGATCCGTATCTTCCTATCAGCATTTAGGCAGTCAGTGCTCAATTTTATATTTAGTGAATGAAAGAATGAAGCAGAAGTTACTGAATTGATTTAAAGAAAAACATCATTTTGTATGAATGCAGTAATTCACAGTTTTATAATGATTTATAACTGAACGTTTACATGCAGTGCCAAACTTGTTAGCATCTTGTAGATAAAGAAACTAAAACCCAGGTAGGTTATATTCTTGTGCCAGTCATTTATTTATAACTTGATCTTCCCACTTGGTTATTGAATCATCTATAGCGTTTAAACTGAAGATGTATATTGCCTGCACTAAAGCAAAATTGAATAGGAAAATTTGTTAGGAAATAAGAAAAAATTGTTAGGAAATAAGATACTTATTTCCTAACAGTACCAGAGAGAAATATTTGTAATTGAGAAACCTTATCAAGAGAAATACTGGTTTCTTTTAGGTGCTGGGCAAGTAGGCCAGTATTGAAGATAGATTTTTCTAAGAATCTTAAGGCAAGGGATCTTTGTTTCTTGAATTCTTCTGATACAAAAATATTTCTTTGATCTTTATGGTCTTCCTTTTAGCACTGTTAACCCCCTTCCTTTTTTAAGTAATCTAAAATTTTTCTCAAGAAAAAATCTTATAATATTTGTTTCATGAATGAGTACAGAGAAACAGTATGGAGTGAACTGTTAATCACTCAGCACATTTGTGTCACAGCTAGATTTATACTTTGGAGTCACTACTCAGTTAAAATTAAACTGATCTGTAATTAGCAGCTTGGAGAAATTCTTATAGATTATCAAGTACCGATTAGAAAACTCTGCTTATTTTTGCCTCTCTTTTGGAAATGCTAGGTATATTTTGGTTTCCCTTTACAAGAAGTTTTTGAAAACTTTTTTATACTGCACCACATTAGCATAGCTCTGCCTTTCTGATCGTTTTTTCCCAGTTTGAAAGAGGAAAATAAGTTGGGGAAGATAACTGAGGCTTGGATGTAAAAGTCAGTTGGGCTACTTCATCCATCGCTTTACTGATTTTGTTCCCCTACTAAAACCTTAAGCTGAAATTAAACATCTCCTTAAGTAGTTTTCCAAATGCCATTTCCAGCGAATGAATGAACCTAACTCTGAATCCAAAGTAGAAATAAAGTAGCAAATGTAACCATGAAGTACTTTTAAGATGCATTTATTTCCCATAGTC